TGCAAGCTCCGCCTCCTGGGTTCACGCGATTCTCCTGCCTCAGCCTCCCGAGTAGCTGGGACTACAGGTGCCCGCCACCACGCCTGGCTAATTTTTTGTATTTTTAGTAGAGATGGGGTTTCACTGTGTTAGCCAGGATAGTCTTGATCTCCTGACCTCATGATCTGCCCGCCTTGGCCTCCCAAAGTGCTGGGATACAGGCGTGAGCCACCATGCCTGGCCTCATTAGTTTTTATTTATGTTAAATTTCTCAATCATAATAATACTATTATGTTCCTTATTCTTAGGAGATAAACACAAAAGTATTTAAGGATAAAATCTCTCATCTGCAGTTAATTCTCAAATGGTTCAGTAAATGAAAAACATATTTTAAATATACAGGTATTCAACAAGTATGTATATTTATATGTGTATATATAGCTAGGAGAAACAGTAAATACTGCAAAAAGTTAAGTGGTAAAGGTAGGCAAAGAATTTATGGTTGCTTATTCTATTTTTGTAATTTTTCTGTAGGTTTGAAATTTTTAAAATAAAATATTGGAGAAAAAAGTAATAGTCTCAACTTAGGTAGGAAAGCTTAATGGGATATGAAATCTCCCTGAGCTTTGGCTGACTACCTGCTATATCGGAAGTGCATGGTCAGCTGGGCCAGGACTGTAAGTGGTAGGGTAGTTTGCAGGCAATGCTATAGGAAAGGCAGAGGGCCAGTAAGCACCCAGATAACAGAGGTGGTACCTATGGATGTCTAGTAGAAGCGTGTAGCCAGGCAGAAGGGTAGGAGTCATAAATACCAGATCCAAAGGGCAAAGCAAAAGACAGCTCTTGTACAGATTGAGCTCTTTGGCAGAGGTTTGGGTAGCTAATCGGAAAAACACAGGAAATGATAAGATCAGAGGTGGGGCAAAGGGTCAGTAAGGCAGGCAAGCAGGCAGGAAGGTAGGCAGGCAGGCAGGCAGGCAGAAAGGATACACTAAGAAGCACAGAGGAATTAGAAGTTTAGGCAAGGCTCTGGCTTGTCTGGGCATAGTTAAAGGCTAATTTCAGGGAAGCAAATAGAAACTAGAGTGAGAGCAGACAAGTTGTGGAGCACCCATGATGAGAAACAGCTTAAGAGCAGAGGAGGACACAAAAAGTAGGCTCAATCTGTCTGAAAATGGGGAAGGGAGAGGTAGCAGCCAATGGCAGAATGTGATACCTTGGTCTTTGTTTCTCTTAGTTGGTGAGGCAAGAAGAGTCTGGCTAAAGTTTGCTTCCTCTTATCTAGTGGCTGAATCAGAGAGATGTAAATTGGGGCAGAATTCCCAGGAAAGGTCATGCCCCAGTCCCAAACCACTTTTGGGACTGCAGGCCCATGAGGTACATCCCTGCCAGTCTCTGAATGCTGCTACCAGTATATTTCTCTCACTTCTTAATGATGGCATTCCATTTAAGAATTCGGAGTTCCTATTTCTTGGAGAAATCTCTTTTTAAACTAGCAGCTACACTCATGGATATGCTACCCCCGTTCATGCATCCATTCTTTCAGAATCCCAGGTAGGCCTAATTTTCACATCTGAAATGTAGATCAGAGTTCCTGAATGCCTAACTGGAGGTATTTAACAACTTGCCTTTGTCTGTACCAGCTCTACCATGCCCAGTCCAGACTCCTAGTGCAGCATTCTAACTGCAAGTCAAAATGCCTTTTTCTATTCTCAGAGACTCTGGTACTGAAAGAAAGCAATTTAGCATGGGTTAGGTGAGACATTCCCTCCAGAGAAAAGGATCAGCCAGGGGATCACAGAAATGGCTGCAGGGATCAGATGGTCTGGCCCCCACAAAGAGTATTTAAAATTCAGGTATCTTTTTGACCTGCTTGCAAGTCACATAAGCAATACGGATTTGGGTACAGAAGAATCTATGAGGGAAAGGGGGAAGGGGAATGGGGGAACAGTCACTTCTCTGGGCACATTCTCTAGAAGCAGTGCTTTTATCGGAGGTGATTCTGTTAAGACTGTGATGAAAAGACACCAGGGAAGGCAGTGTGGGAACAAGACTTGTTTGTGTAGAGGAAGGTCGGAAAAGACACCTTTCAGACTTGTGCCCTCCCATCAACAGACAGCACAGCGCCCACACTGACAGCACCCCTCTCTATTTCTCTGCTCAGGACACAATCTGCAAGGCTTTTTTAAGGGCCTTTCCTCCCTCTCAGTAATGACCTACCTTGCTATGTTTAAGGCTGAGCTTTTCTTCCCTCCCTTGTTCTGTGTCCTGGGTTCCAGATGAGAGATGAGAGTTCCATTGAATCTTTAATCTCTCTCGGAAGTACTTAGTCACTGATCTGGCCACGTGGCATCTGCTTTCCCATTGTGGGTCTGGTATGTTAACTAAGAAAGTTATTTTCCAGCCGAGTTAGAAATAGCAGGAACTTGAATTGACTTGCTAGACTGGCAGTGCTGGAAGTTAGGGCCATGTGCCAAAGGAAAGAATAGATGGCCAATCACCAGGGAGCACATTTCTCAATCTGTAGCCTGAGACTAAACCTTCCTGCTGGCAAGGGAGATCTGTGTTAGGCCTTTGCTGCCAGGTTCACACTGGGAGACATTCTGTGACTTCTCGGTGGCTCCACATGCAGTCTGAAACTCAGAAGGGGAACTGCGAACCACCTTTTATCTAGGCATAAGGATCTGGAGGAAATAGGAGTGATCCTAGAGACAGAAAACAAGATCCTGAAGAAAAAGTAGATGAGAGGAGGCTGAAGAGTCTCAGATATGGCAAAGGTAAGGGACAGAAAAGCAGACCTCTGGATAGTAGGTGCCAGGCCAGTAGTTCTGAAGGCCTGGGCCCCTGCAGGTGCTGCTGCTAGCCCTGTCCCCCACTCTCAGCCCAGGCCCCATCCCAGCTCCTACCTGGTAGGTACCTGTCGTGGCTGTGGCTGTACTCTGTGGCAGTGAGTGACAAGTGAGTCTGTATAAAGGGCTGGTTGCCAAACAGATTGTCACTACGAAGGTTGTGGCAGAGTTTCTCCAGGAAGCGGAGGACGTAGGTGATGCTGTTGACTGCTGGGAGGTTGAGGGTATGCTGTTCCCGGTCAAACACGGCTGTGGAGTGAGTAAACAGGGCCAAGCATGTCAGCCTGGCAGTGGAGTACAGCGCTGGGCAGGAAGAGTACAGCCCACTGCTTGTCTCAGGCTTACCTGGTTACACAAAGGGAATCAGTGCCCCACATTTCCTCCCTCCCTCCCTTTAACTCCCTCCCTCGAGGGCTTTGATTTTTGTCTCCAACTGTAAAGGGCTTGCAAATATGGGAGTGGCCAGGCCAGGTCTGTTGCACCCTGGGCTCTGGAATGATTTTTTTCAACCTGTGAAAACAACTGTGAACATAATTCTGTCTGCTCCATCACTTGGCTGGACCTCCCCCAGGAAATCGGCTCATTTAGGGTGCTATTTTCACAAGAACTGCCTAAGAACAGAGAAGCTGGGCAGAACAGTAGAATATAGCCATAGCCAGCAATGGTATGGGTACACAATTTCCGATCTATATAAGGGCACTAGAATTTTAGCAACATTTGGAACTGTTTCATGCTTTGTGTTAGTTTACTTTCTATCATCTTTTTCTGTAAAAATATATCAGCATAATCCTTACAAAGCAAAGACCTGTGTATTTGTCCCTGAGGGCAGCAAGGATTTGGGGAGATAGGTCATTCTCAAGAACCAATTTTGAGGCAGAAGAAGAACCCTAGAGGGGGTATAGGTGAGAGCAGCTAAAGAGAGGCAGTTAGGCTAGGTTCCTACAGACCACTACACAGAAACAAAGAAGAGACCAAGGAGTAGCCTGGGCCTCAGAAGCAACATAAGGCTTAATTTCCCAGGCACTTCCCAGTTTTCTTCTTCTTCTTTTTTTTTTTTTTTTTGAGATGGAGTCTTGCTCTGTCACCCAGGCTGGAGTGCAGTGGCAC